CCTAGAGAACCCCTCCCACCCACTCCATGCAGAGCTAGTGAAGATGAGGAGTACGTTCAGCCACAGACTCATCCCTCCACGACACAGCACCAAGCGCCTCGGACAGTCCTTTGTGCCTGTAGCTATCAGGCTGCACAACAAGGGGTCAATAATGTGAAACCAGTACTAGACATAAATACACACTGTTTCCACAACCCATGTTAATATATCTAATATGTAATATATGACTCTATATGTATATATGTCTATTTTCATTTTCATTCATTTCTTACCTATAGTTTATATGACCAAATATGTATATATGCTTGTTTTAATATATATATTTTATTCATTTCTTATTTCATAGTTTCTCATTATTATTATTTTTCATTTTAATCGCTGATCTTATTTTTGATTGTATTAATCTGTGTGAATCTGTGCTATCCTGTTTTTCACTCTCACCCTGTTGCTGTTTAAACAACTGAATTTCCCCACGGGGATTAATAAAGGTCCATCTTATCTTATCTTATGTCTGAAACAATATTACCAGCAGATAAATATCTTGAAACATATTCCCAACTAAGAAGAATTAAGAAAAATCTTACCAGTTACAGTAAGGTATCTAATTACAATGTATTGTAGAAGCCTTATATTATTAGGTTTTGGATTTACAAAGTCTAAGGGTTGAATCATGGCAAACAACAACTCATGTGTCAGGATGAAAAGAGGGTCAGGAGATTAACTCGTGTTAAAATTCAGTCAAGTCCTTCATCATTCTGTTTCAGAGAATAGTTTTGAAAACTGAAATATGACCTGATGCTGGTGTAAAAGAAAAGTTCCCAAAATAATTTATTCCATTTTGCAATAATGGAAAAGTCAAAACAAACATGCCTACAGACCAGACAAACGTTTATAAATGCATCTGGTGGCCTAATGATGGTACAAACTACAGAAAGAAAGAAAAAGGAAGAACATACTGACCTCCAGACCAGACAAACTTAGGTTTGCTGTACGAACTGTAAAACACTGGATCTCCTCTTCCTGCTCTGCACACATATCCTGCTGTGTGTGTTTGTCCATCAATGATGAAGAGATCCTGTTTAGTCCCATTCTCGCTGCCAGGTAGCAGCTTATAGCTGTAGGAGTTGTCTGACTTTTGGGGAACAGCCTTATACCAGTAGAAGCTCCAGCCAGCAGAAGGATGATCAACACTGCAGTTCAGAGTTACTGAGGCTCCAGGACTCGGCCATGATGGAGACACAGTGAGGACAGGCTCAGGTGTGTCTGTTGGAAAGTGATTTAATGATAAAATTATGATTTATAATTGGTGGGTTACATGCACTCCTTGGATCCTACATATTTTCTGCATACAGTATGTAAAAAACAAGTTCAAGTGTGAACTGTACTTAAATATAGTGACCAAATTACTAGTTATTAGTTATTTTGTAAGAGTAAAAATAAGTCACCTGATGATAAATGACTTACTGTCAGATACTGTCAATGTGAAAACAATCCATTTGTCACAGCTAATAAAGTATAACAAGGTATGTTGGTGAAGTATTATCTTTATGTAAATGATTTGATATGAGAAGCTGATCCCTGTCAGTCTTTCTGTTCTTATTGTAATACTCTTGATTTTGTGATAACACAAAGCACATGATTGTACACATCACCTGCCTATACAGCATCAGTGGAGCTGTTCTCATAAATAAATAAAAAATGCTTTTATTGAACTTGGTCATGGTGGTATTACTTTGATCACTTACCTGATACAGTTAGATAGATTTTATTGCTTCTTTTTTTTGATCCCCTGTACCGAAAAAAGCATTGGTATTCACCACTGTAGCCTGAAGCTAGAGAGGGTAATTTAAAACTCTCATGTTTTTGGTAAGAGAGAAATTCTCGACCATCCCTTTGGATTGAGTAAGACCAGTCTCTGTCTTTGTCTCCTGTGATGTCACACTTGAAGGTAACAGACTCTCCAATAAAAACAGTGGTCCAGTTTGGCTCAATGGTCAGCACAGCATCTAGAAACCATCACAAGAGACATAAAGTAAAATGTGTTTTCTTTTTGTCAAAACATTTATAATACATTGACAAAACGGAACACACAAAAAAGAGGTTGTTTGGAGAGTTACCTACAGTAGGTAGGTTTTACTTTAGTTGGTAAACAAAAATAAAGAAAATTGTATAATTACCTTGAGCTTGTACACGGTAGAGTAAATTCAGCACTGAAATAAGTATGAAACTACATCAGACATTATCAAACTGACAGAAATCAAATATATTATAACCTAAGGCATTTAAAAAGTTGTATCAATGGTAATTAAAACTGGAAAAGTACTCACAGAATAACCCCAGCGCGCAGAGCAAAGTGTGTCCCATCTTCAGATCGAACACTGACTCTGTCTCTTACATACGTCCACTTTAACACTTGAAACAAATTGAGGAAGACTAACAGAGCACTGTGGGAGGAAATCTGATCTGATGTCAACATGAGCTCATTGGTATTTTAAAGATTTCCTGAGAATAACTAGTCTCTCTTTCCTTCCTGTTTTACATTGGCATGACTACTTCATGCTCATGCCATGCAGATACATTTTAACTTCACTCTCAACCAATATCCCACTTTAAAAAGGCAGAGTAAAAAGTCATTTTTGCTCAACTCATATCTAAGTAAAAATGGATGGCATTATTATACTTGTGTTTCAAAGGCAGATATATTTAACGTCAACAGTTAGATGGTTCATCGAGACAACTGCAGAATGATTTAACCTCTTTTCATTCTTTACCTGATCTTTATTGCAATTGTAATTCTGATCATTTATCATGCATTAGTCAAAAAACACAAGACAAATGTGAGGATTTTTTGTTAAATAGCCATCTTGTAAACCTCTAATATTATATGTTTCCACTGCTTCATCACTATAGTAATAACAAGGGCCAATGATTCAAAGTAACACATTTTTGGTCACATCTCAGCTCTTGCACCTCTAACTTCCTTCTGTCTCCTCAAAGCATGACTGTACTGGATCACCAAAATAAGACGGAGGATGATGAAACAAATCAATCACCTTGTGTAAAGGAAAATCATGTAGAAGTAATTAAGTAAATAAAGTTTATTGATGCAAAACAAAGCATGCTTTTTTTTAAACACACCTAGATTAAAGCCATATGATACATTTCCTTAATATTATTTGCTATTACATTAACTGTACAAAATACTGTCTGATAAATGGAGAGCAAAGCTGCAAATAAGGTTTAATAAACAAAGGTTTTGTTCTGGTATGTTGTTTCCATTAGTCTTGTCCTTACAGAAGACATTCTTTAATCTGGAAGAAAATCAAAGGAGAAAGAGATTAAACTTTTTAAAGAATTAGGGTGTTTCATGACATATTTCTCCCATTTAAAACATATTCAACAATATATGAAATATATTTAGTGATTGATCTGAATACTTACATGATGTTACGCTGCATTTTTACCAAGAGCTGTTCCTGGTTTGAGTTCAGAATAAACAGTTTCATCCGCTGGTGCAGGACTTGACTTCCCTATGAATTAAGAGATTATTATTATTTATTTTTTACAGTATTCCCCCAGTTAAAAATGACAATGCACTGGTATACATTTTCCTCACAAGAGGGTAGAGTGATAGTTTGATAGAAGGAATTGCTCATGATGATTCACAACAGTTAAACATGTACTGATACAGATTAATGAAATGTCACATGCCCTGATGTTTATTTCATGAATTCATAGAATTGGCAGAAAATAAACTTAACAAACATCGAAAAAGTTATGTGTAGGATTTGAACATTGCTGTCTTTGGCAATACCTCGTGGTCATTTTTTAAATAACACCCTATCAGGCAGCATGTAACCTTATCAAAAGCTTAAAGCGAGTAGTATTTCATCATACCTGCAGCTGATGCCATCTGCACATGTGAGTAAACACAATCCTCCGGTTCATTTTTCTTCCCTGTTAGACGGATCAGGAGAAAGCATGAAAAGACAATACTTATTGTATGTTTTTGTTACAACATACATTTAAAATGCTCACCCTTCTTAGAAATGTTTTTGAGCTTGACCACAGAATATGTGACATCCCTGGATTCATCTGAAATATACAATTTATTTTATATTTATAAGAGTGAACCTTGAATTGTCATATTACAGTATTTATATTTACTATACTGTACCATTTGCAGGTTCTTCTGGGCCTCTGATTGTTTCATAGAGACAAGCATTATCTGAAGAGAAATCAAAATCAAACCAAATATATATTAAAATCCCTCTATATGAACTCCTACATTTTTTAAAACAACTAATGAGAAATGGAAATGCTACTCGGTTAACAACGTTAACAATGAATTCAAAACGTATTAAGGATTCAGGCTGACCCTGAAGAACAGAAGCATATTCTCTTTGGTTAGTTTCGTCCTGGTTGATCATGTGGTCTGTAGCAGGGCTCTGATTGGTCCTCTGAGATCTGGTGGGCAAAACACATGTAGTAAATGGAAAGTGGATTTATGAAAGGAACATATAATTGCTGTCATGTTCATAATAAAATAAAATAGAGTGTTGTACCAACCTGCTATAGCATGAATCTGTTAAAAAAAGAAGACATTTGCGGCTATTTTATTATACATTACAAAGTGTTCTACTGTTAAAACAGTACGTGTGATGACATTAGAGTAAATCTTATATCAGGAGAAAATTATCTCACCTTTTGACTTTCTGTATAAATACAGGAACAGCAGCAGGAGAATAATCAGTAAAACTCCACAAAGCAGCCCAACGATCAGAAGAACGGGAAATTGAGAGTATTCTCCTGGCTCTGGCCCGGACGCTGCTATTATAAGTCATTATTATTAATATTATATCACTTTCCTGTAATAGATTAACTTTATAAAACATTTTTCTCTTAAACAAACACAGTTTAATTCAGATGAAACTAAGCTTTCTTTATCTCAGACTGTAACACAGTTTACAAAAAAGAAAGAGTTTTTAAATCATACTTACATTTTACTGAGAACCAACTCTCTGGTGACGTCCAACCATCTGCTGAATCTCTCTGTTTACATTTATAAAAGCCTTCGTCTGACTTTGACACTGCGGAGATGGTCAGCTCCCTTCTGGTATCGTTCTGGATGAGTTTGTCATTTTTATAGAAATCCACATTATTAACAGCAGCTTCATTATTTAACTTGCAGCTAAGAGTGACAGGAAGTTCCTCAGCCACAGGACGGACAGGACTCACCAGGATCATTTGACCATCATCTGGAAAATAAAAATAAAATAATATAAAGGCTTTGACAGAGACATCAGCTTTTGCAGATGTAATATGTTTAGGTACAACTGGTCTAGTCTGGCAGAAGCTGAAATCAGGTAGATGTATGAGGACATTAAAACAAGTAGAATATTATCTTTGATCTCTGAAAGGAGTAATCCTGGAAATCACTTCGCAAATTGGCCTTTTTTTATAAAATGTTACTAATTTGAAGAGACGTTTGGCTAATGCTTGTCACTTTCACATTTCAAAACAATATAATACTTCAGAAACAAACATTTTAAATAATTAAAACTCACCATCTTTAGTGATGTTGACAGCATTACTGAACTGTCCTGTTTCAGACTCACACCAGAACACTCCACTAACCCAGCTGCTGGTTATTGTGCATGTGGATCCAGTCATTGTCCCCCAGAGAGAACAGGGATAAAAGTAGCCAGATTCATAAAACCTCATCACTCTCCACTCAGTGGAGTTTCCCTCACAGCTCAGTGACACAGACGTTTTGGTGAAGTGCTGCACACTGTCAGGACTCACTGTGAGAGATGCTGCTGAGTTAATATCTGAAACACACAAAAAGGGGACATTTAAACCGTGACAACTGTAAAAGACATTGCATGCAAATAAGAGATTAAACAAGCCTAAAAAGTGAATGTTTAATCCATGCATATATTGTATTTGTTGAAAGGAAAGAAATAATTGGTGTTGTTGGTTTTATGTTATATGTAAAAAGCAGTAATTCCGATATAAAATATCAAATTAAAGTTGTCCATTTAAAAGTTGGGAGGGGGCAAGCAAACTAAAGTAGGAAGAAAGACAACTACTGTCAGAACGTAATCTTGTGTTAAAATTCAGTCCAGTCCAGAAGCTGAATCAGTCAATCATCATTCTGTTTTAGAGAAAAGTTTGGAAAACTGAACAATGACCTGATGCTGGTGTAAAAGAAAGTTCCCAAAATAAGTGACTTTATTCCATTTTGCAATAATGGAAAAGTCAAAACAACATGCCTCAAGACCAGACAAACTTTGATAAAGAAATGTTTTGGCCTAATAGTGATGCAAACTAAAGAAAGAAAGAAAAAGGAAGAACATACTGACCTCCAGACCAGACAAACTTAGGTTTGCTGTGCCAACTGAAATATACTGGGTCTCCTCTTCCTGCTCTGCACACATATCCTGCTGTGTGTGTTTGTCCATCAATGATGAAGAGATCCTGTTCAGTCCCATTCTCGCTGCCAGGTAGCAGCTCATAGCTGTAGGAGTTGTATGACAGTTTGGGACCAGCCTTATACCAGTAGAAGCTCCAGCCAGCAGAAGGATGATCAACCCTGCAGTTCAGAGTTACTGAGGCTCCAGGACTCGGCCATGATGGAGACACAGTGAGGACAGGCTTAGGTGTGTCTGTTGGAAAGTAATTTAATGATAAAGTTATGATGTATAATTGGTGGGTTACATGCACTCCTTGGATCCTAAATATGTTCTACAAATGTATAAAGCCAATTTAAAGTGGACCTATCATGCTATATTTGAATAATATAGTGTAGGACCATACCTATATAAGGCATATTTATACTTTTTTTTTTTCAAAATACCAAACAGATCATGCATTTTAGCCATGCCTCATTTTGCTCAATTTGACATTTTTTAGCTCTGGATTTGCAAGGGCAGATTCAGTGAGAACAGCACCATCTACTGGCCTGGCATATGTACTACAGCATCTCCAGCGCTTTCGAACGGCAATGGCCGTGGCTGTCTCCTCCTGATTGGTGGAGTTGGCCCAATAGCCGTAGCGCCACCGTCCTGACGTCAGGACAGTGTTCAAATCTGGATCAGTTTTTATCAGATCCGTTGCAGCCCCTTTTTTAGAGATTTGGGTATGGAGGAAAATAGAGAGGGTTGTGTTTTCTGACATATGGTGAGTTCCCTGGAACACCGGGGACACACATTCATGTATAAAAGACGTACAAAAGTGCATTTTGCATGATAGGTCCCCTTTAAGGGTGAACTGTCCTTTAATAAAATAACCAGAATACTAGTTTTTTTTTTTATATGCAGTCAAAAAAAAGTTAACTGATGATACATTACTTACTGTCAGACACTGTCAATGTGAAAAAAATCCATTTGTAATACAGTAAAACATGGTTTGTTGGTAAAGTGCTCTTATCCCTGTCTTTATTTTTGTTCTTATTTTAATACTCGTGATTTTGTGATAACACAAAGCACAGGATTGTACAGTATACTTCACCTGCATATACAGCATCAGTGAAGCTCTATAATTTACATATTATATATTACAACTTGTCCAAACTGCTTGTTCATATCAATATGGCTCATAAATAAAAAATGCTTTTATTGAACTTGGTCCTGGTGGTATTACTTTGATCACTTACCTGATACAGTTAGATAGATTGTATTGCTTGTCTTTGTTGATCCCCTGTGCTGAAAAACACATTGGTATGCACCACTGTAGCCTGTAGCTAGAGAGGGTAATTTATAGCTGTCATGTTTGCCGTAAGGGAGAATTCCTTGACCATCCTTGAGGATTGCGTAATACCAGTCGCTGTCTTTGTCTCCTGTAATGTCACACTTGAAGGTAACAGACTCCCAGGTAAAAAAAATGGTCCAGTTTGGCTCAATGGTCAGCACAGCATCTAGAAACCATCACAAGATACATAAAGTAAAATGTGTTCTCTTTTTGTCAAAACATTTATAATACATTGACAAAACGGAACACACAAAAAAGAGGATGTTGTTTGGAGAGTTACATAGGTAGATTTTCGCTTTACTTAGTCAACAAAAAGAAAGAAAATTGTATTATTACCTTGAGCTTGTCCACGGTAAAGTAAATTCAGCACTGAAACAAGTATGAAACTCAGAACTCAGACATTATTAAAATGAAAGAAATCAAACGTATCATAACATCAGGCATTTAAAAAGTTGTATCAATGGCAATTAAAACATTAACAGTACTTACAGAAAAAACCCAGTAGAGAGAACAAAGTGTGTCCCATCTTCACATCCAACACTGATAATCTGTTCCTCTGCTTCTGAGAGATTCTTCTACTTTGTTTAAATAGAAAGATCGAAACTGCAGCATGAAGAGAAAAATCAGGAACTATAGCGAAACAAATGCAATGTCATAATGGAAACGGAAGTTGATTTCATTTTAAAAAGTAGTCTGGGCTTCCTTCCCTTTTACACAAAGCTCACACTGAACAGCTTTTAACACAGCACATTTTTTTGCACCTTGGTTTAGGTATCGTTTTAAGATGAAGAGAGATAAGGTATTACAATATCCTTCCTGACAGATATAAGATCATCCTGTAGGCTTGTGCTTCTGCACAAATGGTTAGTAATTATTGATGCTGCTATAAAGACTGCTGCATGAATCTCAATAACAACAAAAAAAGTAGATACAATTGCAGGTGTCATACTCACTTTATAATCCATGGGCCTTCTCACCAATATTTCATATGAAAATGTGTGTGGAACAGTTTTACCCAAATAGTTGAACTGCAGTGTTGGAGTGTTCTGGAGAAATTCAAGTTTAAGTTTAGAAACAACCAGGTGTAGCGAGTTGGACGCGGGTGATCGCCGTCCCCCCACTTATTTGGAGCCCCTACTTTTTTGAAGCATGTTTTTTTTTTAATAGTCTAATAAATATAAAATCATTGCCAGCGTTATCAGTTGCAAGTGTGTATTTGTTGTAATAATGACGAAAACATAATACATTTCACAGTACTTGATTTGAAGCATGTGTGTGTGTGGGCAGCACCATGTGTGTGTGTGTAGGGTGACCAGGTGTCCCGCTTTGTGCGGGACTGCACACACAGCAATTTTATAATTTGTCCCGCGTCCCACAAATTGAGACTATGTCCCGCATTTGAGTGACAGTGGCCGGCACCGCCCTTTATTATTATATTTTTTAAACGGCATCAAGTAAGTTGCGATGACAGGCGACAGAGGTCCACAGAGGCCCACAGTGTACCCCCACCCCCCCCCCTTGACAGTTCACGAGCACGTCCGTAGTGTCTCCCCTGCACCCCGTCCACCCAGTAAAAAAATCCCCACTACACCACTGGAAACAACCTCACCCATAGGAAGTCTCTCATAGTCTCTTTACCAGAAGTGAGTCCTGCCCCCTCCTCGAGATAGACTCGATCTACTTTAAGGGGGCATAACTCCATATCATTAGTAATGAAGCAATCAGTTGAATACGGAAAATATTTGTTGTCTAGGCACAACATTGTATCTCAACAGTTGTACAAAAATCACTTAATGCCATAATGATGATCGAAATAAATAAATACCACAACACTTGAGTAGTTGTGAAGTTTTAAATGTTTAGTTATTAGATAGAGAGTTACATTTACATTACATCAGACCCTGCTGCCAGAGTTCAGAAGGACTATTTGTGGAGAGTAGGTAAAGTATCAGATAAAGTAGTTTGACACCACCTTGTGGTCATATATCGAAAGAAAGCTTCAAATATAACTGCACAGTGACTGGAGAAAAAATGTAATTGAATATTCTCAATAAAACATACTTAAATAAATTGGACAAACTAATGTTGGCTGTAGTGCGTCAGAAGATTCTCTTCTTCTATCTCTCTACACAGAGAATACTGTATGTTTACCCATGGACAATGTAGGAACAAAGTACCATATATTCACATTTTGAGATCATACAAGATAATAAAGTGTAAGTACTAGCAGAAAACATATTATATTTTAAGTGCATAAAGGGTTTTGGTTACCATTTTTTTATTTTATGACAATAGTATAATCAAAAATATAAAATGTTCTGCCTTGTTTTCTTCCTGGACAGGCTTTACTGCTTTGATTGCATTGAAAGCATGAAATAAAGACAATACTTGTGGGTTGTTGTTTTTCTATTGGTGAGAAATTCCATCACGTTTTAATTATATTGGATAATCTGCTTCACAAAATACAGAACGTTTGTATTATTAAAGATGAGATAATAAAATAATCCATTATTTTTATTAATAAAAAACAAAAAACTTGCCCCAAGAATCTGAAAGAAAACAAATACACTGTACAAAAGGTGTGTGCTTCAGTTCCTTTGAATCTGAACATCTTGTTTGACCTATTGGTGGCGCTGTGACTTCAGATGTTTTGGCTTTTGCAAGAGAATACTTCTGCAGATAAATTAAAGGCATTAGATTTTGTGTCCACTGTGTGCATCTACAGTGCTAAAGCATGTGTCCATACTGCATATATTAGTATCTGGCTCTAATATCACCAAATGTACAACAAGGTTAGAGCCACATGATCTGAATCAGACATGTAACAAATAATGTTGTAGTACAATGTTTTACACTTAAACAAGCCTTAAAAAGGAATGTCCATCAAAATCCATGCATATATTGTATTTGTTGAAAGTAAATAATTGGTGTTGTTGGTTTTATGTTATATGTAAAAAACAGTGATTCCGATTGACACAATATCAAAATAAAGTGGTCCATTTAAAAGTTGGGAGGGGGCAAATAAACTAAAGTAGGAGGAAAGACAACTGTCAGAAAATGATCTTATCTTAAAATTCAGTCAAGTCCAGAAGCTGAATCAGTCAATCATCATTCTGTTTTAGAGAAACAAATTGAAAACTGAACTATGACCTGATGCTGGTGTAAAATAAAGTTCCCAAAATAAGTGACTTTATTCCAATTTGCAATAATGGAAAAGTCAAAACAACATGCCTCCAGACTAGACAAACTTTGATTAAGACATGTTTTGGCCTAATAGTGATGCAAACTAAAGAAAGAAAGAAAAAGGAAGAACATACTGACCTCCAGACCAGACGAACTTAGGTTTGCTGTGCCAACTGTAAAACACTGGATCTCCTCTTCCTGCTCTGCAGTAATATCCTGCTGTGTGTGTTTGTCCATCAATGATGAAGAGATCCTGTTCAGTCCCATTCTCGCTGCCAGGTAGCAAATCATAGCTGTAGGAGTAGTCTGACTTTTGGGGAACAGCCTTATACCAGTAGAAGCTCCAGCCAGCAGAAGGATGATCAACACTGCAGTTCAGAGTTACTGAGGCTCCAGGACTCGGCCATGATGGAGACACAGTGAGGACAGGCAGAGGTCTTTCTGTTGGACAGTGATTTAAATATAATGTTATGATTTATAATTTGTGGATAGCATACACTCCTTGGATCCTACTGTACATATTTCTTGCATACAGTATGTAAAAAACAAATGTAAGTGTGAGCTGTACTTAAATATAACAACCAAAATACTAGTTATTAGTTATTTTGTTTATACACAGTAACAAAAAGTCAACTGATGATAAATGACTTACTGTCAGATGCTGTCAATGTGAAAACGATCCATGTGTCACAGGTTATAAAGTATAACAAGGTTTGTTGGTGAAGTATTATCTTTATGTAAATGATTTGATATAAGAAGCTGATCCCTGTCAGTCTTTTTGTTCTTCTTTTAATACTCTTGATTTTGTGATAACACAAAGCACATGATTGTATACAGCATCAGTGGAGCTGTTCTCATAAATGAATAGAAAATGCTTTTATTGCACTTGGTCATGGTGATATTACTTTGATCACTTACCTGATACAGTTAGATAGATTGTATTGCTTCTTTTTGTTGATCCCCCTTGCAGAATATTTCATATGAAAATGTGTGTAACAGCTTTAACCAAATAGTTGAACTGCAGTGCTGGAGTGTTATGTAGGAAATCAAGTTTAAGTTTAGAAACAACCTCACCCACAGGAAGTCTCACATAGTCTCTTTACCAGAAGTGAATGTGAAGAGAGACAAAGTCCTACGCGCAAAACTGTATCACAACAGTTGTACAGTACATAGATGACTTAATGCAATAAGGATACAAAATAAATAAATACCACAACACTTCAGTAGCTGTGAAGTTTTAAATGTGGTGGGTAGTCAAAATTGAAAGCTTCCACTTCCATGCATCAGTGCAAAGCTAAGGAAGTGAACCGTAAGCAGTCATTTGTTTAGTTATTAGTTAGGAGTTACATTTACATGACATCAGACCCTGCTGCCAGACTTCAGAAGGACTATGTGTGTAGAGTAGGTAAAGTATCAGATAAAGTAGTTTGACACCACCTTGTGGTCATATATTGAAATACATGTTCTATTATAACTGCTCAGTGACTGGAGAAACATTTTAATAAAATATCCTCAGTAAAATACTTACATAAATTGGACAAATTAATGTTGGCTGTAGTGTGTCAGTAGATTCCCTTCTTCTATCTCTTTACATAGAGAATACTGTATGTTTACCCATGGATATGAACAAAGTACCATATATTCACATTTTGACATCATACAAGATAATAAAGTGTAAGTACTAGTAAGAAACATATTATATATTAAGTGCATTAAGGGTTTTGGTTACCATTTTTTTATTTGAATGACAATAATATGTTTGAAAAATATAGAATGTTCTGCCTTGTTTTCTGCCTGGACAGGCTTTACTGCTTTGATTGCATTGAAAGCACGAAATAAAGATAATACTTGTGGGTTGTTGTTTTTCTATTAGTGAGAAATTCCATCATGTTTTTAATTATATTGGATAATCTGCTTCAGAAAATACAGAATGTTTGTATTATTAAAGATGAGATAATAAAATAATTCAAGTTATTTTTATTAATACAAAACAAAAAACGTGCCCAACAATCTGAAAGAAAACAAATACACTGTACAAAAGGTGTGTGCTTCAGTTCCTTTGGATCTGAACATCTAGTTTGACCTATTGGTGGCGCTGTGACTTCAGATGTTTTGGCTTTTGGAAGAGACTACGTCAGCATGTAAATTAAAGGCATTAGATAATGTGTTGGCACCCTGTGGTAGCATCTAGTAAGAATCATTCACTGAACAGTACATGCAGGTATAATTGCATTTGGGTTTTATTAATAATATATTTGTGTGTCCACTGTGTGCATCTACAGTGCTAAAGCATGTGTCCATACTGCATATATTAGTATCTCGCTCTAATATCACCAAATGTACAACAAGGTTAGAGCCACATGATCTGAATCAGACATGTAACAAATGATGTTGTAGTACAATGTTTTACACTAAATATAAGTACACAGAAAGTAAGTATACAGTTGAATTGCAAAGCATTCAGCATGTTCCTATAACAGTCTTTATTAAAAAAAAGGCACTGCGCTATTTCCACAAAAGCAGCAAATACACTCAATTGCTGAAACAAGGATGTTGTTTTTCATGTTTTTATCCGTTCCATTGGTTCTGTCCATGAGGATGTCTTTATTGATCTGGAAGAAAACCAAAATAAATTATTGTCATTGGGTAATTTCTGCTCATGTTTTTGAATATAACAATGTATGTTAATGCCAACTCATTTGTGTGTGAAACTATGTACGTTTGCCATTCATTAGTTACGATGTTTTAAGTAATGTTTCTTTAAACCAAAACATGTCTGGAAAACAACATGCTGTATATAAGAAAGACATGAAAATGCACAAACAGTGTAAAAGCTTTATTTGGTGGATTTGATCATTGCTGAAACTGGCAAGCAGCACAGCACATAATAAAAGCTTCTAGTATATTCATAAGTATATGTATTAAAGTGTTTTGTACTTGACTTTACCTGCAGCCACGTTTATGTAAAGGCTCTCTTCTGGTTCATTACTGGCACCTGTTAGAAGGATTAAACACATTATCAAAGGACCATTCCTGTACTTTATTTAGACACTGCTGGCCTACAAAAGCATCTCAACCATTGCATGTAGTATTTGTATTACTCCATGTTAAACACAAATGAAATAATGTACCATTTCCAGCTTCTACAGACCCTCCGATTGTTTCATAGAGACAACGATCACCTACAGAGAAGTGAAAATCAACCATGGTTACACCAATCATTCTAATCATAATTAAGGCTAAGAGGTAAAAATAAATCATATTATTAAGCTGGAGAAGGGCTGACCATGGAGAAGAGTAGAATATTGTGGCATGTTTTTAATTTCATCCTGGTTGATCATGTGGTCTGTAGCAGGGCCCTGATTGGTGCTCTGAGATCTTGTGGGACATACATATGAAGATAATGAAGTGGATTGAATTTAACATATAACTGCTGTAAAGTTCAAAATGAGATAAAAGAGGGTTGTACCGACCTGATGAAGACTGAATCTGTTGAATACAAGAAAAACGTAGTTACATTGTTTTTGAATTGCAAATGTTTCCGGTACATATAATGTGTGATTTTGAGTAATTATAGGCTCTCTTCTGGTTTATTACTGGCAGCTGTAAGGAGGATTACATTTTTTTATCAAAGGATAATTCCTGTAATTTATTTAGAGACTGCTGGCCTACAAAAGCATCTCAACAATTGCATGTAGTATTTGTATTACTCCATGTTAAACACAAATTAAATACTCTACCATTTCCAGCTTCTACAGGCCCTCCGATTGTTTCATAGAGACAACGATCACCTACAGAGAAGTGAAAATCAAGCCATGGTCATAACAATCATTTTAACCACAATTAAGGATAAGGGAATGCTCTGGTTTTTGGACAAAATTAACATGGGATCACTCCCGTCACCGGACGTACTTCGTCTCACTGGAATAGTAACGGTCATAGTGAATATAAAATCGTCCCCATGTATCCGGCCAATGACGGGAGAGTTTTGAAAGAGACAAAACACTGTTCCATACATTTAAAAACACTTAAACAATTAAACAATGTTTACCTGCCAACAAGCAGCAGTGTGCTGTCATTTCAAACATGTTACCCCACTGTTTAACACAGTTTTACCTGTGTTTTGAAGACTCTTTCCTGGGTCAATGTGTCCTCTTTCTCCCCCCCCTGGGTGTGTGTGAGACAAGTCAAGTGAGTCAGCCTGCCAACCAGCAGCAGTGTGCTGTCATTTCAAACATGTTACCCCACTGTTTAACACAGTTTTACCTGTGTTTTGAAGACTCTTTCCTGGGTCAATGTGTCCTCTTTCTCCCCCCCTGGGTGTGTGTGAGACAAGTCAAGTGAGTCAGGCTGCCAAAAAGCAGCAGTGTGCTGTCATTTCAAACATGTTACCCCACTGTTTAACACAGTTTTACCTGTGTTTTGAAGACTCTTTCCTGGGTCAATGTGTCCTCTTTCTCCCCCCCTGGGTGTGTGTGAGACAAGTCAAGTGAGTCAGGCTGCCAACAAGCAGCAGTGTGCTGTCATTTCAAACATGTTACCCCACTGTTTAACACAGTTTTACCTGTGTTTTGAAGACTCTTTCCTGGGTCATTGTGTGCTCACCAGGGGCACGAGAATACCCTCCACAGAAGGGGTCGTGGTTCCGTGAAGAAGGCCGAATTTGGGTGCTCATAGGCAGCCTGCTGCAGAGTCATTTTCAGGCTCCTCTCCACAATTGTCCCCCTAAAATGATTTAAAATCATTATTTTTGCATTTAAATGCATTTATTCTATCATTTATATGGTTCCCCAACACAATGCACATAGTCTGGAGCTCACTGGGGTCCTGCATATAATTTAATCAGGCGTTTTAACACTTTTTCCCATGAAAATGATTTTTAATCACTATCATGGGGCTATGAAAATAAAATTCCGGGTAATGCAGAGCACAAGTGCACCTTTTACTATTTAAATGTATTTGTATTATATATATTTGGGCTAGAAAGGTGACCTCTCTGGGTGATTTAGTCAGTTTATGGAGCTTAGCCCACAAATCCTGGATGATCCAGGCCGAATTTGGGTGCTCATAGGCGGCCTGCCAGGCGCCCCCACCCGTGGAAAGCAAAAAAAATTGAAGAAAACGCTTAATCATAACTTAAAATAATCAAAAATGAAGTTTTGAAAAATTGTCAAAAAATGACAGAGTGCCAACGGGAGAAGGGGCCAGACTATTGGCGCTTCAGGCCGATTTTTCCCCTTCTCCGATGGTTGGTACAACGGAGAAGGGGAAAAAGTCCCTGGGCTTCATTTCCACTTCTCTGTTAAAAAGATTCATCCATACTTTTCAAACTACCGTCTGCACGAAATCGGAAACCCAGTTTTTGGGTGCACTCAGAAAAATAACGGCTGTTGCAAATCATGGAAGAATGTATCCGCTCACCAAGCACTTTGAGTGGGCCTAATTTTGTGGCGCAAGGACCCCCCAGCCTGGTTCTCTCAATACTTAAAGTTTGACATGGAGGAATGCGAGGGCACTTTGCAGGTGACTCTACCCGATTATGAGACACTATTTTGGGACGTATTTTTTACATTTCTCTGGTTCTCCAAATAGTTTAAGTTCGACATTTTGAGCCATGGAGGAATGCGAGGGCACTTTGCAGGTGACTCTACCCGATTTTGAGACACTATTTTGGGGCGTATTTTTTACATTTCTCTGGTTCTCCAAATAGTTTAAGTTCGACATTTTGAGCCATGGAGGAATGCGAGGGCACTTTCCAGGTGACTCTACCCGATTTTGAGGCACTATTTTGGGGTATAATTTTTACATTTTGACCCCTTTGCCCGGTTATCACCAAAGTTGAGTTGGATGATTTCGACCATGGAGGAATGTCAGGGGAGTCCGCGGGGGACTCCTGCGGGGTCATGAGGCACTATTTTGGGGTACAATTTTTACATTTTGACCCCTTTTCCCGGTTCTCACCAAAGTTGAGTTGGATGATTTCGACCATGGAGGAATGTCAGGGGAGTCCGCGGGGGACTCCTGCGGGGTCATGAGGCACTATTTTCGGACACTTTTTTCCCATTTTCCCCCCTTTTGCCTGGTTCTTTTTATTTTTATTTTTTTTCCTGTTTTGGCCCGTTTGACCCGGTTCCTTCTGCCGGGGGCACTGCCCGGTCCCGGGTGCCCCCCCCAGGGCTCGCGTACAGCCGTTTCACCCCCCACATTGACGGATTTTGACCCCTTTGCCCGGTTCTCACCAAAGTTGAGTGTGATGATTGCTGAGTCATGATGCACTATTTTGGGGTACATTTCCCCCATTATCAACACGGACTAGAGATGTCTCGGAGATGGCTCGGAGCCCACACCCTGGTTCTATGTAACCCTGGAGGAATGTCACATGAGTCGACAGGGGACTGCTGCTGGCTAATGAAGGACTATTTTGGGGTACATTTCCCCCATTATCAACACGGACTAGAGATGTCTCGGAGATGGCTTGGAGCCCACACCCTGGTTCTATGTAACCCTGGAGGAATGTCACATGAGTCGACAGGGGACTGCTGCTGGCTAATGAAGGACTATTTTGGGGTACATTTCCCCCATTATCAACACGGACTAGAGATGTCTCGGAGATGGCTCGGAGCCCACACCCTGGTTCTATGTAACCCTGGAGGAATGTCACATGAGTCGACAGGGGACTGCTGCTGGCTAATGAAGGACTATTTTGGGGTACTTTTTTTTCATTTTCACCCAAATTTCCCTGGATGAAATATTTTTTAGTTTTTTTAGTTTTTAGCCCAGTTTTGGCCACAGCGTTGCCTGGAGGATAGGACCGAGATATGACAGACTCTCTGGCCGCCTCACAAGTCACTATTGTCGGACACTTTCTTTGCTTTACCCCGGTTCTATCACTCTTTCCTCCTTTGACCATACAACCCGTTTCCTGCTGGGGTGGTGCCTGGTTCCGGGGTACCCCAAACCCTCTCATGGTCGGGGCACCATGTATTGATGCATCGGACCCAATGTTGCCATCACCAGCCCCGCGTTGGTGCGGAAGTGGGACCATCTGACCCGGTGGTAACCCAATACTTCCCTTCGTCCATGCACCATGAATTGATGCATCGGACCCAGTGTCGCAACCACCGCTCACGCTAACGCATATAAACGGAGAACTATAACATAATTTTGATCAAAATCATTATGTGTGTTTCAGGAAGGATGTCATCTGAATGCCCGGTGTGCAGACTCTTCTATCTGGCATTGAACAAACACCTTAAGCACAAGCATGCAGTGCGGAACTTGGAGGAGAGGGGAATCCTCCTGAAAATAGCCAGTGGAAGGATAAATGTTCGGACCAAACCCTGTCCCATCGCTGGGTGTTCGTACGCTGGGAAGAGACTGGACCGTCATGTAAAACATGACCACCCTGAGTTGTCCCGACATAAGGCACATCAGGTCATGGCAAGGCTGAAGCATAGTGTGGCACTGCAGTTGCTCCATGACCTCCGTGAGACTAACCCCATCATTGGAATGGCTACATCATTGGATATAGACAATGAGGAGGAATACCCCGGGCACCCTCCACCCTTCTCCCCACATACCGAGTGTGACAACGAGGACTGCAGGCAGGTGATGCTGGAAAATGTGGCATTGAGGGCTCAGAAGGATGCCCTCAATGATGAGGTGAAGACCCTGCGCTCCAGGCTGAAAAAGGAGCTAAAACCCAGGAAGCAGAGTGCTGCTGTTCTTGAGGAAGAGGACGAATGTATACGATTTAAGGGCCTGGCAATCCCAAATACCTCCGGCATAAACACAGTAGCCTCAGGCAGCAATACCCCTGTGAAGAGCCCGGTGAAGACTGTCATGCAGTCCCCAGTAACCTCCGGTAGCGAGACCCCTGTGAGGAGCCCGGTGAAGACTGTCATGCTTGCAGTAGCCTCCGGTGGGAAGAGACCGGTCAAGAACCCTGTGAAGAGCCCAATGAAGACTGTCATGCTTGCAGTAGCCTCCGGTGGAAAGAGACCGGTCAAGAACCCTGTGAAGAGCCCAGTGAAGACTGTCATATTACCAGTTTCCTCCGGTAGCGAGACCCCTGAGAAGAGCCCGGTGAAGACTGTCATGTTTGCAGTAGCCTCCAGTAGCGAGACCCCTGTGAAGACCCCGGTGAAGACTGTCATGTTTGCAGTAGCCTCCGGTAGCGAGACCCCTGTGAAGACCCCGGTGGAAACTGTCATGTTTGCAGTAGCCTCCGGTAGCGAGACCCCTGTGAAGACCCCGGTGGAAACTGTCATGTTTGCAGTAGCCTCCGGTAGCGAGACCCCTGTGAAGACCCCGGTGGAAACTGTCATGTTTGCAGTAGCCTCCGGTAGCGAGACCCCTGTGAAGACCCCGGTGGAAACTGTCATGTTTGCAGTAGCCTCCGGTAGCGAGACCCCTGTGAAGACCCCGGTGGAAACTGTCATGTTTGCAGTAGCCTCCGGTAGCGAGACCCCTGTATGCCGGAAGACCCGTGCCTCTAAGCTGGCTAATGACTTGCCCTCTCCCTCAAATTACTGGTCCACTGGGTGTGGACGGGGGAATACCATGCGTGAAATCACGTTGCCTAGAAGCATGGAGGCGTACCTTCAGACATACTTGGATCACTGTTTGGGTGTCGCTCCGACAGTAAAACAGAAAGACAATGTTGTGTCGAAGATCAGCCGGATAAAGAACTTCATAGTATACATGGCCCATGGTGTTAACCGCCTGTCAGACTGGCTGTTCCTAAGAAACATGAAGATGATCCGTGGCTGGAGCGAGTATATTGTAAAGC